CTAGAGTGCATTTGGATGATCCAGAAGAGGATTGGGAGAATGTCATATGGTCAGATGAAACCAAAATATAACTTTTTGGTAAAAACTCAACTCGTTGTGTTTGGAGGACAAAGAATGCTGAGTTGCATCCAAAGAACACCATACCTACTGTGAAGCATGGGGGTGGAGACATCATGCTTTGGGGCTGTTTTTCTGCAAAGGGACCAGGACGACTGATCCGTGTAAAGGAAAGAATGAATGGGGCCATGTATCGTGAGATTTTGAGTGAAAACCTCCTTCCATCAGCAAGGGCATTGAAGATGAAACGTGGCTGGGTCTTTCAGCATGACAATGATCCCAAACACACCACCTGGGCAACGAAGGAGTGGCTTCGTAAGAAGCATTTCAAGGTCCTGGAGTGGCCTAGCCAGTCTCCAGATCTCAACCCCATAGAAAATCTTTGGAGGGAGTTGAAAATCCGTGTTGCCAAGCGACAGCCCCAAAACATCACTGCTCTAGAGGAGATCTGCATGGAGGAATGGGCCAAAATACCAGCAACAGTGTGTGAAAACCTTGTGAAGACTTACAGAAAACATTTGACCTGTGTCATTGCCAACAAAGGGTATATAACAAAGTATTGAGAAACTTTTGTTATTGACCAAATACTTATTTTCCACCATCATTTGCAAATAAATTCATTAAAAATCCTACAATGTGATTTTCTGGATTTTTTTTTCTCATTTTGTTTGTCATAGTTGACTTGAACCTATGATGAAAATTACAGGCCTCTCTCATCTTTTTAAGTGGGAGAACTTGCACAATTGGTGGCTGACTAAATACTTTTTTTCCCCACTGTATAGCCTCCCTACTGTCACTTTATTTTACTTCTGCTCTTTTTTTCTCAACACTTTTTTTGTTGTTGTTTTATTCTTACTTTTTTTGTTTAAAATAAATCCACTGTTGGTTAAGGGCTGTAAATAAGCATTTCACTGTAATGTCTGCACCTGTTGTATTCGGCGCATGTGACCAATAAAATGTGATTTGTTTTGATTTGATTTGACAAAACAAATGGAATGATGAGATGTAATGCGGCAGTGGCTAGAAGGCCGTTGACGATGAACACCGAAGCCTGCTCGAACAACGAGAGGAGGCAGCTTCGGAGAAAGTCGTGACAAATGGACAGTACCAAAACAAATGATCTAATGATTCTGTCTCTTCGCAGCAAAATCTGCAGTGCTGGGAAGATTGTATCCCCCATATAAATAACATTCTATTGGTAGCAAGAATTTTGTATATTAATTTAAATAGAAAAATTATACGTTTTGAATCCAGCGTCGTTTTGCATATCAGTTCATAAACACTATGCCATGGAATCGGTACGTCAAAAATGTCTTCCCATCTATTTTGCAATCTATTTTATACATTCATCCTTAAATGAAACTGGTATACTTTATTATTTATCACAATTTTCTTTAACCCATTATGTTCTTTAATGCAGAGCCGACAGACAAGTTCCTTACTTTTTCCCCCTTCCACTTTCCTCTTCCATGTTTGTGGTAATGCTGCAATTATTTGGTTGTAATTTTGGGTAGCGCAGACATTTCCATATTTTTTTGTTAGCTGACATAACTCCACCAGTCCTACCTATGATATCATTTACGAAGATTATACCTTTTCTTTTTTTTTCTTTTTTTTCTTAATGTTTTTTTAAATCAAATAGTATACTTCAGTTTAAACACAATATTTGTTGCATTATTTGTTCAGTCGTTTCTGGAGGATGAAATTGAAATTGCAACCAACTTTCTATGGCTTGTTTTAGAAATAGTGATATTTGGGTGATTATTTCCTTTTCAAATAACGGAAAGTGAGAGGTTGTAATCTGAATAAAGGGGAAAAGGCCATTCTTCAACAAGGGGTGAGACAATCTTACTAATTTGCTAGAGAACCAGTACGGATATATGTATAACTTTGTATGACTGAAGCTTTTAGTGATACAGTTGAAGTCGGAAGTTTACATACACTTAGGTTGGAGTCATTAAAACTTGTTTTTCAACCACTCCACACATTTCTTGTTAACAAACTTTAGTTTTGGCAAGTCGGTTAGGACATCTACTTTGTGCATGACACAAGTAATTTGTCCAACAATTGTTTACAGACAGATTATTTAACTTGTAATTCACTGTATCGCAATTCCAGTGGGTCAGAAGTTTACATACACTAAGTTGACTGTGTTTTTAAACAGCTTGGAAAATGCCAGAAAATGATGTAATGGCTTTAGAAGCTTCTGATAGGCTAATTGACATCATTTGAGTCAATTGGAGGTGTACCTGTGGATGTATTTCAAGGCCTACCTTCAAACTCAGTGCCTCTTCGCTTGACATCATGGGAAAATCTAAAGAAATCAGCCTAGACCTCAGAAAAACAATTGTAGACCTCCACAAGTCTGGTTCATCCTTGGGAGAAATTTCTAAACGCCCGAAGGTACTACGTTCATCTGTACAAACAATAGTACGCAAGTATAAACACCATGGGACCACGCAGCCATCATACCGTCAGGAAGGAGACGTGTTCTGTCTCCTAGAGATGAATGTACTTTGGTGCGAAAAGTGCAAATCAATCACAGAACAACAGCAAAGGACCTTGTGAAGATGCTGGAGGAAACAGGTACAAAAGTATCTATATCCACAGTAAACGAGTCCTATATCGACATAACCTGAAAGGCCGCTCAGCAAGGAAGAAGCCACTGCTCCAAAACTGCCATAAAAAAAAAGCAGACTACGGTTTGCAACTGCACATGGGGACAAAGATTGTACTTTTTGGAGAAATGTCCTCTGGTCTGATAAAACAAAAATATAACTGTTTGGCCATAATGACCATCGTTATGTTTGGAGGAAAAAGGGGGACCTTGGAAGCTGAAGAACACCATCTCAACCGTGAAGCACAAGGGTGGCAGCATCATGCTGTGGGGGTGCTTTGCTGCAGGAGGGACTGGTGCACTTCACAAAATAAATGGCATCATGAGGAAGGAAAATTATGTGGATATATTGAAGCAACATCTCAAGACATCAGTCAGGAAGTTAATGCTTGTTTGCAAATGGGTCTTCCAAATGGACAATGACCCCAAGCATACTTCCAAAGTTGTGGCAAAATGTCTTAAGGACAACAAAGTCAAGGTATTGGAGTGGCCATCACAAAGCCCTGACCTCAATCCTATAGAAAATGTGTGGGCAGAACTGAAAAAGCGTGTGCGAGCAAGGAGGCCTACAAACCTGACTCAGTTACACCAGCTCTGTCAGGAGGAATGGGCCAAAATTCACCCAACTTATTGTGGGAAGCTTGTGGAAGGCTTCCCGAAACGTTTGACCCAAGTTAAACAATTTAAAGGCAATGCTACCATATACTAACTGAGTGTATGTAAACTTCTGACCCACTGGGAATGTGATTAAATAAATAAAAGTTGAAATAAATCATTCTCTCTACTATTATTCTGACCTTTCACATTCTTAAAATAAAGTGGTGATCCTAACTGACGTAAAATAGGGAATTTTTACTAGGATTAAATGTCAGGAATTGTGAAAAACTGAGTTTAAATGTATTTGGCTAAGGTGTATGTAAACTTCTGATTTCAACTGCAGGTCTAATACTTTAATATTTAATCATTTCTGTCCTCCGAATTCATATTCATTATATAAATAGGCCCGTTTAATTTTGTCTGACTTTCCGTTCACAATAAAATTGAATATGTTTTTCTCATATAATTAAAAAAACTGTTCGCTAGGTGTAGGCAAGAACATAAGCAAATAGGTAAACTGGGATAATACGAAAGCGTTAATCAGGGTGATTTTTCCACAAATAGACAGGTATTTACCTTTCCCTGGTAGCTAGATCTTATCTATTTTTGCTAATTTTCTATTACATTTTTTTGGAGTGAGATCTTTTATTTCATTTGGGATATGTATTCTGGGTATATCCACATTACCATCAGACCATTGTATTGATCAACTACATGGTAATGTAAACATTTTTAGTGATCCAATTCGTAATATAGTACATTTACCATAATTTGGTTGTAATCCAGAGAGGTTAGAAAATTTATCTAGATCCTCTATGAGGCTGTGGAGGGATTCAAGTTGTGGATTAAAAAGAAAACATGAATCATCAGCATACAATGACACCTTTGTTTTTAAGCCCTGGATTTATAATCCCTCCACTGTACAGTGTTGATTGTAAGTTCAAAAATAATTAGAAAAGGTTATATTGAAATGCCCCTTGTCTCAAGTATCTTGTTTTGTTCTTTTAGTACTTCAAACCAAGTTGGAAAGTTTTGAATGTTCAAATGCAAAAAGGTGGTATACCTTATTATAAACTATTTTAATATTACAGAAGAATGTGTCAAATGCACACAAAAAAAATGAAAAAAGTTAGGTGCAGTATGTAAACTTAACATGATGAACAAGAATTGCATTTACTCTCACGGGTGGCCAATAAGATCTGAAAGCCATGCCACTAATAAGCCACGCCTCCTGAAAATAACCTAAGGATTAATATGAAAAAGTCCCAGTTGCTAGGTCAACCCAGCATGGAAGTAAATAATACCCAACTAATGGTTAAATTAACCCATGTTAGGGAAATCCTAGCAACCCAACATGTTGGGTTATTCACGCAACCCAACTGGCTGGATCAAAATAACCCAGCATGTGTTCTGTTCTATATTTACCCAGCGCTGGGTTACCAAATAATCAAAATTGGGTTGTTTTTAACCCAGCATTTTGTGGAGTGTAGACAAGACATAGACAAGTCATTAACAAAACATAGACCTGATCACACAGGGACAAGAAATTGTGGCAATCTGAAAAGCATTTATTCATTAGTTTCTGTTCCACAAAAAAAAAATGTAATTGTCCTTTTGTTTTACAGAAACATACACTGGTTCAAATGATACCATGGTGATACATTTGACAAACTCTAAGCTCTGTGTTGCTTATCGGGATCTATACAGGGAAATGGCATGGACTAATTTAACCCTCGGACTCAAACATCTTCTTCCTGCCATCCATGCCAGACTTGTCTTCAATGTTCTGACGCCAGTCTCCAACGTTACGCAGTTCCTTTTCCTGCAATAGCAACACAGTCAAAGGTTCAGAGTTTAGAATGTACTAAATGGTGTCCAAGAAACCTTGAGAGAGTAGAGTGCTGAATGCAAATAACATGGCAGCTTGTTTGTCATATTACATGATCGTTCCAGCAGAACAGTTGTTTGGCAGCAGTTCTATGGCCAATTTTAACGCTTGCAGTAGAAGTTGGCCCTAACCACAGATCGACTGTAGATTACCCTTGACCTTCTCCCAATCCTACTTAGGAGCATGAAAATATATCTGACCCTGTATCAGTGATTTGGGGCAACTCTACATAAAATAAATCGGCCTTATACATTAAGTACCCTCTGCTGAGCTTATCTATGAACTAATTTCAGTATGACCAACCTCTTACAATATAACAAAATAACAAGGCCTCAGGTTTGGCAATAACAATGTCTCCCAATGGGTCATCTCGGACACCCAGAACTACAATCTTGTGTAATTGCGTCAGATGCTCGATTGAGTTCAGGGGGAGATGTGTTAGAAATTGTGAAGTCTCCACCCCTCTAAACGGAAACTCTCAGACAGTTTTGGGCAAGTCTATGGGCCAAATGTCCCCCCCCCCCCCTTCCGAAATTCGAAAGATGCGAGCGCTTCCGAAATTGTGATTTGTCCAAATGATCAGTGACTAAGAATAAGCGCAACGGAACAAAGTTAGTCGTTGGGACACACCTCTTCTTTCACCTCCTTCTTTACTTGTTTCAGGTTGGCTCTCAGATCCATGGACACCTTATGCTTGGAGCCCAGCAGAGCCTGGAGCATAGCATCAGCAGACATACGCACTTTCCTCAAAGTTGGCTTCTTGAACTTGCCCTTCAAGTCAATAACTTTAATGTTCAAATCTTCAATCTGGTCAATGGGAGAAGAGAACAACAACATTGGTCCAACTGGCACCACATAGTTACTAATGGAATGGATTCCAAGTTTTAGGAGGTGTGAGGAAAAGTGAATTCAATATACCTCCTTAGCGGATTTGTTCACTTTGCTCTCCAGGTCATATCTCTCCTCATCTATCACGTCAATCTTATGGTGCAAATCTTTCAAGAACTCCTGATATAAACAAATATCAGACATTAATAATAGTAATCACCATCATCACCATAATGATTATACTAATACAACTACTAATATTATTCGTATTATTAATAATAGTAATAATAATGGTGAAAACGTTATTCAACACGTTTGAATAGAGCAACAAATGTTGTAATCATCTTTATACAAAGGCACATCTCCCCCCCCAAAAAAACAATTAATAAAAAAAAAAAAACAACAACCCAGAAGCAATTGATTCAGGGTTAGACCAAACTTTGATTGTGGAGTGAAATAACACATTAAAGACACACTCCAGCTATTTTTGAACTTTTCCTGTTGAAAAACAATATCCCAAGTATAATTTTTTACACAACTGCAAACTTCAATGAGTAGGGCATTCAAGGAGTTTGTCTGATGTGATGGCATCGGCCACCCCCCTTGCTTGAGGAACATTAAAGCCCCCCCCAACCCCCCTCCCAAAGTAATACTTTGATTGGTATACCATTAACTGTTGAGTACCCCCTGGTAGGGACAGTGGAGGGCAGTTCTCCTCCATCCATCTTATTCTCTCCTGCTCATTCTCCTTTGCCTCTTCTTCCAGTAAGCCTTTAGCAATGGAGAGCATCAAGCTCTGGGAGACAATGAAAAGTATGCAGGTTACAATTATAAAATGCCCATCCCTACCAGAATCAAGTAGGCTTTTTTGTAAACAGGCTTTCATGTAAAATTAAGATTTATATACTTACATTTTTAGTCATTTAGCAGACGCTCTTATCTAGAGCGACTTACAGTTAGTGAGTGCATACATTTTTCATAATGGCCCCCTGTGGGAATCGAACCAAGCAAGCGCCATGCTCTACCAACTAAGCTGTGTTCTCCTGTAGCCCCTTGTATTTATGGTTGCTGGCATAGCCGAAGGAAGTAGGGGTGCTGGAGGTGCTGCAGCACCCCCTGATTAAATGAAATAATTTGGGCAAAATTATATAAACAATTTTTTTTAAACATTTAGAATACTCCTGTCTGAACAGACATTAATACAATTATTAAAAATACTACACCAGTGAGCATAATTTAGCCACAGAGGATCAAAAGCTTCTAAAAATAGCTGTGGATTAAGTTTTATCACAAGCATTTACAGTCGGGAAGGCCGCAATTTAGGCAGCATGCGCCTAATATAGAACAGCTTGTTGCGTTGTGGCCATAGACAAATAATCCGTAGAAGGGTTTTGGAACCTCTAACCCTGGCAATTTGACAGTTAAACTCATAGGTATGCTAGCAATGGTTGCCAGTTCTGACTTGAATGGTAACTGCCATCTATGGATTATATTTCTATGGTTGGTTGCCCCTGTCAGTTTGCCTTTTGCAAATTTCAAACTACAATTGCGAGAAAAACATACAGTTTGGAAAGCAAATGCCTACTGCTGAAAAGAGAAGACTAATCTTACTGTAGAAGAAAAAACAAATCTAAACTACTTTTGAGTGATTCTGAGCTAACTGTTTTTCAAAGTAGCTTATCTTGACATAGACTATTCTCATGAGCACATCATCCATCACCGGTGAGTAGCCTAGGCTTCACCAGTGCCACTGGAAAGTTTATTTAGTAGCCTAGTGTTTCTTCATTGGCCTGGGCTATTGTTTTAATTCAAGACCAGGTCGTTTTTATTAGTCTCAGTTTGTCACGGTCAGAGTAGCCACTCATTTCGGTCATTTGTGTGGTATTAAAAAATATTCTGCTAATGTCTTCTATCATGTAAATGACGTAGAATTGCATGAAATGTGTGGAAATCCGAAAAACGCCTCTGCTCAACTGTATGCCACTATACGTAAATGCACCCCCAACTCAAAGAAGATCTTGCCATGGTTGCTAGTAAAATAAATAAGAAAAAAAGATATTTCAGATATTTGAAAATGTTTACCTTCAGGTAATGCCTCCGACTCGAAGACATCTTTTTCCTGTGGAGATATAATGTATTGTTAGATTTTTTTTTAAGTTAAAGGAAAACCGATTTAATTTTGACTTGAACTAGGTCATTCTTATTTATTACGTCATAATAAATGTTTGATCATAATCAATGTTTGTTCTAAGTTACTCACTCAGACATCTTGGCGTTTCTTTAATTTCGCACCCTGTGAAAAAAGAGAGGTCAATTACTTTTAGTGATGGGCACCGATATGGAAAATCTATATTGACATAAGTTGCAGTTTTGGAAACGATATCATATCAGTTATATAAATAACATTACTTCAGTGACATGCAGTCAGGGTAGGCAGGGCGTACCCTGTGATAATCTAATATCTAAAAAGCTGTTATGAAAAGCCCAAATATATTTTTAAAACTACATTTATATTAAATTATATTACAAATTGTCATTCTTTTTTGCTATCTAATGTTTTTTCTCAATTATTCTGGTGATTTTATGCTCAAAATCTCAAAATTGTCTAAAACTGCATCAAAACCTCAGGAAAGGCACTAGGGTATTTATGAAATTCTATCCATCCATTCAAAGCCATTACAATCCTTGACGCGAGTGACCTTATCTGACTCCAGTCACTGTTAATAGACAGGGTCAGAATAGGCGTCACTGCTTTGCCTAGCTTGAAGTAGCTTCATTCGAGCCGATTTCATATTTGGTGCATGCATCTTGCCTAAACATGTTGTGTGGGTATTGCCCTGGGGTAAGCTGTCCAGAGGCAACCATCATGACACCATCTCCCTCACTGCTAGCTGTTGGCAGGCGAACAGAGTGAGTACTGGACTGTCCACTTGTCTGAAATGTCATTACCAATTAATACTTCTTACCCAGATTTTTACACATCTTGGACATTTACTTTTACTTTGTGGAAGTAAGGAATGGGAATGACTTTGTGTAAGTGTCGAGAGTGAATCTCATATTGCATTCACAAAGTAGAGAGAGCATGCTAGCTAGCTAGCTAAGGGATTCAAAACTGACCTGCTGAAAAGGTATCTTGCTAATTAAAGTGATATGTTGTGTTTGCTATTTAGTTGTAAATATGTATGCGAGTGTTATAGCTACTATGGATTACTTGTTTTGATTGTTGTCTAGTGTAGCTAGCTTGTTAGCTAGCTGGCTGTGCCATGCATTGGTTTGTTTCATTTGAATATAAACATTTTTGCTTCACTACTTAGTTGAAACTTGCTATAACTACAGTGCATTCAGAAAGTATTCATACCCCTTGACTAATTCCACATTTTGATGTGTTACAATCTGAATTCAAAATGGATTATACTTTTTACATATGGGTGGTCCTCTGTAGCTCAATTGGTAGAGCTTGGCGCTTGTAACGCCAGGGTAGTGGGTTCAATCCCCAGGACCACCCATATGTAAAAATGTATGCGCACATGACTGTAATTCGCTTTGGATAAAAGCGTCTGCTAAATGGCATTTTATTATATTATAATTTTTTTATTCTCACCCATCTACACACAATACCCCATAATGACAAAGTGATAACATGCTTTTAGAAATATTTGAAAATGTGTTGAAAATGAAAATGAAATACTTATTGACTCAAGACACTTCAGCTTTTAATTAATTTGTAAAATGTCAAAAAACATAATTCCAGTTTGACATTATGTGGTATTGTGTGTAGGCCAATACATTTTAAATTCAGGCTGTAACACAACAAAATGTGGAAAAAGTGAAGGGGTCTGAATACTTTCTGAAGGCACTGTATATGTATCCTTGATGTTGTGTTATATTTCTAATGTATGTGATCTTAAAGCCATTTATTTGATTAGCTAGCTAGCTAGCCAGCTACTCTACTTCACACTAGTGACACGGATAGTCTAATAGTTTTGGGAGGATCCTGCTTGATTCTGTAAGTAGAATTGTTTTAACTTGTAAACTGTGTTGGTTCTGTCTGTCTGTCTGTCATAGTTAGTAAGCTACCCAGTCTGCTTAAGAAGTGATTGCTACCCATTCACACTGGACACAGGTCCAGCCACTTCTTTTGTTCTCTGCAGATTACAACTCAATAGGAGGGGGAGTGGCTACACTTGTGCTAGGCAATTAGTTTAGTGTTATTAGCACAACCTCTTTGTTCAGCGGCAGCTGTCTGCGGCAGCTGTCCCCAAAACGAAGACTGTCCCTGAAACAAAAACAGTTCTGCCAAGTTGTTCTGCGGGAGTTAGTCGAGGGAGGCCCCGCTCTCTCGCTTCCCCAGTTGTTTAGTTAATTTCATTCCGATCTCTTTTGCATTATTGTAGCCTTTTCTGTAGCCTGTCAACTATGTGTCTGTCTATCCCTGTTCTCTCCTCTCTGCACAGGCCATTCAAATGCTTCACACCGCGTGGCTGCTACCACTCTAATCTGGTGGTCCCTGCGCGCACGACCTACGTGGAGTTCCAGGTCTCCGGCAGCCTCTGGAACTGCCGTTCTGCGGCCAACAAGGCAGAGTTCATCTCAGCCTATGCTACCCTCCAGTCTCTCGACTTCTTGGCGCTGACGGAAACATGGATTGCCACAGAAAACACTGCTACTCCTACTGCTCTTTCCTCGTCTGATCATGTGTTCTCGCATACCCCGAGAGTATCTGGTCAGTGCGGCGGTGGCACAAGAATCCTCATCTCTCCCAAGTGGACATTCTCTCTTTTCCTCCTGACCCATCTGTCTATCTCCTCATCTGAATTCCATGCTGCCACAGTCACTAGCCCATTCAAGCTTAACGTCCTTGTCATTTATCGCCCTCCAGGTTCCCTTGGAGAGTTCATCAATGAGCTTGATGCCTTGATAAGTTCCTTTCCTGAGGATGGCTCACCCCTCACAGTTCTGGGTGATTTTAACCTGCCGACGTCTGCCTTCGACTCATTTCTTTCTGCCTCCTTCTTTCCACTCCTTTCCTCTTTTGACCTCACCCTCTCACCGTCCCCCCCTACTCACAAGGCAGGCAATACACTTGACCTCATTTTTACTACATGCTGTTCTTCTACTAATCTCACTGCAACTCCCCTCCAAGTCTCTGACCACTACTTTGTATCCTTTTCTCTCTCGCTCTCTTCCAACACTACTCACTCTGCCCCTAGTCAGATAATGTAATCTGCCATCGCAACCTTCGCTCTCTCTCTCCCGCTACTCTCTCCTCTTCCATCCTATCATCTCTTCCCTCTGCTAAATCCTTCTCCCTCCGGTCTCCTGATTCTGTCTCCTCGACCCTCCTCTCCTCCCTTTCTGTATCTTTTGACTCTCTATGTCCCCTATCCTCCCGGCCGGCTCGGTCCTCCCCTCCTGCTCCGTGGCTTGACGACTCATTGCGAGCTCACAGAACAGGGCTCCGGGCAGCAGAGCGGAAATGGAGGAAAACTAGACTCCCTGTAGACCTGTCATCTTTTCACTCCCTCCTCTCTACTTTTTCTTCCTCTGTTTCTGCTGCTAAAGCCACTTTCTACCACTCTAAATTTCAAGCCTCTGCCTCTAACCCTAGGAAGCTCTTTGCCACCTTCTCCTCCCTGCTGAATCCTCCTCCTCCTCCCCCTCCCTCCTCCCTCTCTCTGGATGACTTCGTCAACCATTTTGAAAAGAAGGTTGACGACATCCGATCCTCATTTATTAAGTCAAATGACACCGCTGGTCCTGCTCACACTGCCCTACCCTATGCTTTGACTTCTTTCTCCCCTCTCTCTTGTGACTTGTGACGGCCGGCCGCCCAACAACCTGCCCGCTTGACCCTATCCCCTCCTCTCTTCTCCAGACCATTTCCGGAGACCTTCTACCTTACCTCACCTCACTCATCAACTCATCTTTGACCGCTGGCTATGTCCCTTCTGTCTTCAAGAGGGCGAGAGTTGCACCCCTCCTCAAAAAACCTACACTCGATCCCTCCGATGTCAACAACTATAGACCAGTATCCCTTATTTTTTTCTCTCCAAAACTCTTGAGCATGCCGTCTCTAGCCAACTCTCCTGCTATCTCTCTCAGAATTACCTTCTTGATCCTAACCCAGTCAGGTTTTAAGACTGGTCATTCAACTGAGACCGCCCTTCTCTGTGTCACGGAGGCTCTCCGCACTGCCAAAGCTAACTCTCTCTCCTCTGCTCTTATCCTTCAAGACCTATCTGCTGCCTTTGATACTGTGAACCATCAGACCCTCCTCTCCACCCTCTCCGAGTTGGGCATCTCCGGCACTGCTCACTCTTGGATTGTGTGCTACCTGACAGGTCGCTCCTACTAGGTGGCGTGGCGAGAATCTGTCTCCACACCACGTGCTCTCACCACTGTTGTCCCCCAGGGCTCAGTTCTAGGCCCTCTCCTATTCTCTCTATACACCAAGTCACTTGGCTCTGTCATATCCTCACATTTTCTCTCCTATCATTGCTACGCAGATGACACACAATTAATTTTCTCCTTTCCCCCTTCTGATAACCAGGTGGTGAATCGTATCTCTGCATGTCTGGCAGACATATCAGTGTGGATGTTGGATCACCACCTCAAGCTGAACCTCGGCAAGACGGAGCTGCTCTTCCTCCCGGGGAAGGACTGCCCGCTCCATGATCTTGCCATCACGGTTGACAACTCCATTGTGTCCTCGTCCCAGAGAGCAAAGAACCATGGCGTGACCCTGGACAACACCCTGTCGTTCTCTGCTAACATCAAAGCGGTGACCCGATCCTGCAGGTTCATGCTCTGCAACATTCGCAGAGTACGACCCTAACTTACACAGAAAGTGGCACAGGTCCTAATCCAAGCACTTGTCATCTTCCGTCTGGATCACTGCAACTCGCTGTTGGCTGGGCTCCCTGCCTGTGCCATTAAACCCCTGCAACTTATCCAGAACGCTGCAGCCCGTCTGGTGTTATTAATAATAATAATATGCCATTTAGCAGACGCTTTTATCCAAAGCGACTTACAGTCATGTGTGCATACATTTTTACGTATGGGTGGTCCCGGGGATCGAACCCACTACCCTGGCGTTACAAGCGCCATGCTCTACCAATTGAGCTACAGAAGACCACAGGTGTTCAACCTTCCCAAGTTCTCTCACGTCACCCCGCTCCCCGCACACTTCAATGGCTTCCAGTTGAAGCTCGCATCTACTACAAAACCATGGTGCTTGCCTACGGAGCTTTGAGGGGAAAGGCACCTCCTTACCTTTAGGCTCTGATCAGACCCTACACCCAAAGAGGGCACTACGTTCATCCACCTCTAGCCTGCTAGCCCCCCTACCTCTACAGAAGCACAGTTCCCGCTCAGCCCAGTCAAAGCTATTCGCTGCTCTGGCACCCCAATGGTGGAACAAGCTCCCCCACGACGCCAGGACAGCGGAGTCACTGACCACCTTCCGGAGACACTTGAAACCCTACCTCTTTAAGGAATACCTGGAATAGTATAATAGTAATCCTTCTACCCCCCCCCCCCCCCCTTTACTACCACTGTCTTTTGTCTAAAATAACACCTGACTTATTTCACCTGCTAGCACTGACTTGTTTAAAGAAATGTACTTATTGTGATCAAGATGTGGTTGTCCCACTGGCTATCCTAAGTTGAATGCACCAATTTGTAAGTCGCTCTGGATAAGAATGTCTGCTAAATGACTTAAATGTTAAAAATGTAAAATGAATAGCCATGATCATTGGAAGAAATGTACAGTATATCCATGGTGAAAGGCTATGGAGTTTGCGTTGAATTATTTGGATGAAATGTGTCCATATATTGGTATTTCAGTACCACCTATCAGTTGCAGCTGGATGCTACATCGGTCTATGGCTGAACTGTGTTGAGCAGTGTGTCATTTTGTTGTATGAAACTCAAATATGCCGCCATCGGAGGTTATCTCTTGTGTACCTTAGTTCAAATCAAATCAAATCAAATCAAATTTTATTGGTCACATGCGCCGAATACAACAGGTGCAGACATTACAGTGAAATGCTTACTTACAGCCCTTAACCAACAGTGCATTTATTTTAAACAAAAAAGTAAGAATAAAACAACAACAAAAAAGTGTTGAGAAAAAAAGAGCAGAAGTAAAATAAAGTGACAGTAGGGAGGCTATATATACAGTAAAATAAAGTGACAGTAGGGAGGCTATATATACAGGGGGGTACCGTTGCATAGTCAATGTGCGGGGGCACCGGCTAGTTGAGGTAGTTGAGGTAATATGTACATGTGGGTAGAGTTACATTGGTATTTACAGTACATTTGGTGAAAATTGTTTGTCAATTTCGGTTAATAGCCTATGCCACTGCTTGTTGGAGCCATCTGTTGTATGGTGAACTTAGACTTCAAAATTTGTGAGTAAGTCTGTTTTTGATAATAGCCAGTGCTTACCCGACCACCAATCTCACTGAATGTCACTGCATCATCGCAACGGTGTTAATTTTCTGTTCACTTCAAAGGCTTTGTGAAGTCCAGTCAACTGCTTGTTGATTGCCCATTGGGCCAGGTGTAAATGGTTTGGAGGCCTTAACCAACCTAACCAGTTTGAATGCAATGAGAAGCCCATCAGCAAGCAAGTTGATAGCCTGTGAGAAGGTCTGTGAGAGAGTATTGTGCCTACAGGAACAGTCATGTACATAAATTGTAGGTTAATAGCAAGGATAAACCGATATATCACGATATGCCTTTCTCATATCGATATCGAAATTATATTGAATTATCGATATTGGTGCCCACCACTAATTGTTTCACATACATTTCGAACTAATTTAGTACAATTACTTGCCAATGAGAAATTACCTGTTGTTTCAATAAGAGATTTTCCAACACTGCAGAAATATTTCTAATTTTTGTACTTGAAAGTGGGACATTTCAAATCTTGTCTGTATCATGAATTAGTTTTAGATTTACTTGGCAACTTTTTGTTATAAACTGCCTGGTTTTGTTTTACAGTGGCAAAAACAAGAATATAATTCAATATTATGTCAATGTATGTGACATAACTACAATAGCTAAAGAGCTTAACTTTTTACATGTTCTAATGAGAGTTAGAACTATCTAATTGTTTGTATTTTCAATTCCCGTTCAGATTATTGTTGATGGAACGTGGGAGGAGACCACATATCAAAAATAACTAGACATGACTGTGTTCACCTAACCTAAACAGATTAATCTCTTCCAGAATCTCTTAAGGAGGGTCGTGCAGAAGTCATGCCGAGTTGAGTCACCTTGGAATGTCCCTATACAGTGCATTCTGGCATAATTGTTCCACTGAGGGGAAACACTATAGCCTACCAACACAAGTGAGGGCCATTTGGCCCTGGAAAAAAGCAGCAGGGTCTAAATTAGGCTAAAGATATGAGGGCCAGCTGTTATCCTTGAGAAGCTCCGTAATGGAAGGCTGGGAGATTATCAACAACCTGATACCACCTCTGTTGATGCCCACCTTACCCTCTAGAACATCCCTGGGATGGCAGAGATGTGTCACACCCTGGTTCTGGGACTCATTATGTTGAGCCAGGGTGTGTGCAGTCTATGTGTTTATGTTCTATGTTAGGTGTCTAGGTTGTTGTTTTCTATGTTTGGTCAATGACTCCCAATCGGAGGTAACGAGTGTCAGCTGTCGGCTCGTTATCTCTGATTGGGAGCCATATTTATACTGTGTGTTTTCACCTTGGGGTTGTGGGTTTTTGTTCCGTTTCGGTCAGTGTACCGTGGACTTCATGTGAGTCGTCGTTTGTTTTGTATTACGTGCTTTACTATATTAAAGTCATGTTTCTTGGACACGCTGCGCCTTGGTCTTACTTAGACGACATAGACGATCGTGACAAGATGTTACACACCACCTGAAATAAGGGCTCCCCTGCAGGCAACAGAACAATGAGACCACTCCAGTGCTTCAAGACTTAACATAACTACTTTGAGTTGGTGTTTAAACACCTATGGTCAGAACTGATGTCAAATACCTCAACAAAAGACCCTGGATAAATCTGCTAAACCTAAATCTCCTATAAACATGTATTGTGAATTTGTTAATCCCAGTGCTTTCGTAAAGGATTAGATGAGGCTTTGACTCTTCTTCTTTGGCAGATGGTGCCCTGGACATTGACTATCCTCAGTAAAAATCAAAGAGGCTTATCAGCTGGGGAAATTTGAAAAGGAAACAGCTTTCAAACATGGTCATCTTCAGTGACATTATTATCAGTGAAAAACATATCTAATTCCTCAACAATAGACATAAAATGGAGATCTGCGGTCTCCTGACCAAAAGGGAACACTTCTTGTTGTACTTTCGATATGTACAAATCTTTTGAAAGACATTACATGAGGGTATTGCATATTAAAAAGTATCAACAGATATGATAAAAAATATTTCTGTGACAAGTGTTTGTATCATTACAGATACATAAAACCTTGGACTATCAACATGCAGCCTTGAATGCTTGAAGTTAACTTCACACTTGATTAAACATTGATATAAAAATACACTGACTACTTTCAGCACACAAAGACATGTTTAGAAACCCTGACAATCATTGTATCACATTACAATGGCAGGACAAAAGTGATAACTGATGTCACCTCTGTGATAACGTGGTATAATTCTCTATGATCTCCTTTATTATGCAAACCCAATTCATCAACCTGTGGTAGCTGCTTTACCACGGTACATGCCTTCCCATCACCACCACCATAACCATCCTCAAGTTTGAGATACTCCAGCCGAGCCATCATCTTTAAAGTATTAGTTACATCAAAATAGTTTGTGTTGACACCAAGATAAACACTGGGGGTATCACACTGCAATCCATCAGTTAAAGGTGTCCTGTTTACCTCTTTACCTCAGAAATCGACATGGTGTTGATATCAGCAATGTCAAACGGCCCCCATAAACAATATCTAGGTCTAGAACAACTGAGACACAACATACTATAATGTAGAAAGTGCTGGATATCTCCTTCACAAATGTTTGCATGGTACTTCCATAAAAACATACTGTAATCATCAACATTTGGGCAATACATCTGCTTGAAACAACCACTCCGACAAAATTCTAGAAAGCAACACCACAAAAACCTCCAGGTCCAAACAAAGCTGCATTAAGTCCAAAACCCCAAATATAATCCTAACATAAACCAGCACAAACGGATTTGAAAACTAGGAAACAAAAAACGACGGAATGAATAAATCCAAGCAATTCACCAGTAGAGCAGGCTGAAAGAAGAGCAGTTCTCACCTAAGAGCTGAGTAGGAAGAGGAGAGCGACAGATTTAGGCAGAGACTGGCTAGTGGGTGAGACTGGCTATGGGTGAGACTGGCTAGTGGCTGCAGCAGCAGATGGAATTATAAGATGGTATATATTGCATTCCCCAATGGCCAAGGAAATCCAATCTTTCTGTTTATGGAAGTAAATTCATCCACAGACCAATAGGCTGGCAAGCGAGAACCTGAAATACTATACCTTACCCCCTTCTTCACACTTTCCTTTAAACAACAGCCTTATTTAGTACAGTAGAAGGTGGTGGTCTGATACTTCCTTTTTGATTCGTTGTGGGTATCTTGCTTTACTACTGCCAGTTAGATGAAGAATTGAGAGACTGGGTTAGAGTTGCTAGTGTGTTTGATAGGGAGATTTAGAAAAACATGTCAAAGAAGTGGCAGTGTGATATGGACGTGTACCACCACCAGTTTAAGCAGGGAGAAGAAAAGAGGGAAAGGAGGGTGATGAAAGTTAAGGGGACAGCAGGTGTAAGTGTGGCATGATAAAAGGTCCCAGGGAATTTGTTTTGTCTGCACAGTGAAGGAGACTATTCAGGAAGCTGTTAATCAAGTGACCATATACTTTTAATTAACAAGAACTAACAACAGTGTGGCCTACAGTGCAAGCTACTGTAGAGAAACAGTGAGTAGTTAATGGTGATGCAATATATACTGAACAAAAATATAAACGCAACATGTAAAGGTTTGGTTCCATGTTTCATGAGCTGAAATAAAAGATCCCAGAAATCCCCCATTATGCACAAAAAGCTTATTTCTCTCAAATGTTGTGCACAAATTTGTTTACATCCCTGTTAGTGAACATTTCTCCTTTGCCAAAATAATCCATCCACCTGACAGGTGTGACATATCAAGAAGCATGATCACTACACAGGTGCACCTTGTGCTGGGGACAATAAAAGACTGCTCTAAATTGTGCAGTTTTGTCACACAACACAATATCACAGATGTCTCAAGTTTTGAGGGAGCGTGCAATTGGCATACTGACTGCAGGAATGTCCAACAGAGCTGTCACCAGTGAATTGAATGTGCTGAGGGGTGCTGAGGAGTATTTCTGTCTGTAATAAAGCCCTTTTGTGGGGGACAAACTCATTCTGATTAGCTGGGCCTGGCTCCCCAGTGGGTGGGCCTACAGTATGCCCTCCCAGGTCCACCCATGGCTGTGCCCCTGCCCAGTCATGTTAAATCAATAGATTAGGGCCTAATGAATTTATTTCAATTGACAGATTTTCTTCTATGAACTGTAACTCTTTGAAATTGTTGCATGTTGCATTTATATTTTTGTTCAGTATCGAACAACATCATGCTTGGGCTTTTCTTCCAGAACTTACCAGGTTGCGGTGGCGCTGAGCAGTGTTCATCCTAAACGGAGAACAGCACTGAGAAAAAAAGTGTTCATCCCAAACAAAAGAAAGTAGTGCCATATACAGTATGGTATGATTTGATAAAGTGTATGATGTTAGCTTAGGAGCTGTTTCTTTCAGACAGCCAGACTACATTGAATCCAACACTGTGTTGCAATGGGCAAAGGGTTGTTTAAAAATATATATATTATTACAATCATATAGCTGTCAATACAAACTGAATTCAATGTGCATACGAAAATAATAATGGATAAGAATAATAAAATAAAAAATAAGAGTAAAAAAATGTAAATCAATAATGTCCTGCGGTCTTAAAGTGACTCATTAATCAATGAGTAGAAATATGGGATTGGTGACCTCATGTACCGTTCAGTTCTAGACTTCGCTATAACTTGACTTATTTCTTTGGACGTTGGGTTGTAATGATATCAAATGCCTAATTGTATGTAAAAAGGGCTCTTTGTAGACGTCACATCACTAATGGGTTGGACAGATGAGTTAGTGAAGACAGCAGCCTCAGCATGCAATCAGGGAATGAGGGAGATGGGAGGGAAGGAGGAGAGGAGAGGCAAACCGCGAGGGAAATGTAGCACCAGTGAGCACCAGTAGGGGAGGACCCCGGGGTGGTGGAATGAAGAAAGGGAGAGGTGAAGTCGTGCCGGTTATAGAAATCGTGGAGGCTGGTGACAGACAGGCCACAGCAGAGGCTGTGTTAGCCCTGAGTGTTTGGGATAAGGCTAATAATACTGTGATGGGGTCAGGGTTAGGAAGCCCTAGGGTTCAAAATTCTGGTAACTTCTGGCCCCTTGTCCTTGTGGGTGATTGTTATTTGTGAGTTGAGTGTAGCTCAGTTGAGCTACCCGTACCTTGTATTTCCGGGGCTATTGTTCCCTGTGTGCCTGTATTTTGTTGACACTATCCAGCGTAACTGTTTCCTACAGAATAAACTCTGTATTCAGTGATTTACCCTCCTGTGCCTGACTCCTTCAAATCCCTGCCGGAAGCTGAGCCCGCGGTTTGTGGGGCCATTCAAAGTCCTGAGGAGAATCAACAAGGTCACCTATAGGTTATTACTTCCCCCTGATTACCGTATTAACCCCTCGTTACATGTGTCTCTCCTCAGGCCGGTGGTGGCTGGTACGCTCCAGGAGTCTGAGGTGCGGGAGGTCCCTCCATCTCCTCTGGACATCGAGGGGGCCCCGGCGTGCTCTGTCCGTTCCATCCTGGATTCGAGGCGTCGGGTGGGAGGCCTTCAGTACCTCATGGAGTGGGAGGGGTACGGCCCGGAGGAACAGTGCTGGGTCCCGGTGAGGGATATCCTCGATCCCTCCCTGTTGTGGGATTTCCACCGTCGCCATCCAGCTCGCCCTGCTCCGCGTCCTCATGGCCGTCCCTGAGGCCGGGGTCGGCTCGCTGCTGGAGCTGCGCGTCAAGGGGGGGGGTACTGTCACGACTTCCGCCGAGGCTGCCTCCATTCCTTGTTCGGGCAGGTTTCAGCGTTCGTCGTCACCGGCTTACTAGCCACTGCCGCTCCATATATCATCATTCCATTTGTCTTGTCTTGTCAATTACACACACCTGGTTCATATCCCCTCATTAGTTTGTGTATACGTGTTCCCTCTGGCCCCTTGTCCTTGTGGGTGATTGTTATTTGTGAGTTGAGTGTAGCTCGGTTGAGCTACCGTACTTTGTATTTCCGGGGCTATTGTTCCCCGTGCCTGTATTTTGTTGACACTATCCAACGTAACTGTTTCCTACGGAATAAACTCTGTATTCTGTGATTTACCCTCCTGCGCCTGACTCACGGTCTATAACAATTTTATTTCCATATTTAGCACCTGTATACAGTAAAAGATTTCATATCTTCCCTCTTCAGGAGAAACATCATCAAGTCATAAATTCACAGGGCTATAAGTGGGCAAAAAATATCAACTTGCATGTTTTGCAAGTAAGTGGCAACATCAATATATCCAGTTGACTATGACAGAAAGTAATGCTGCCTTTAAAAAAAAAATCCATAGAAAAATATCCATTGAATGCCACAATTAGATTTAAAAAATAAAGAGTGCCAAACTGCAGGGAGAGTGGAGTGGAGAGGAGGGGGAGGGAGTCCGGTCAAGTCCAGGCCACTTTCCTTGAGATGGCATGCTTGAAGCACTCGGGTCCACGTTGATTCCAGGACGCAGAGCTCTCTCCAGGCTCACCAGCACGTTCTGGTGACACTCCCTGATGTTGATGGGATACTTGGCCCTCAGCAGCTCATAGGCCGTGATCAGACGCATATTCTGTTTCACCATGAGGTACTGGATGATACAGGTTGGAGCCAGGGAGTACCCGTCACGGCAGTGAACCAGCACGTTTCCTTTTTTCCGTGGACGCCTCGATGCACTCGTTGATGTCCTCGAAGCAGCATCGCTTCAGGGCGAGCTGCCCTCGCCCAGCGCGTCCGGCACGTCGCAGATGTCCACCTTGAGGCGGGACCAGCTGTGGCGGGCGCCCTGGGAGCAGGTGCAGGGGATAAGGCTGAGGCTGGGGCCGGGGTCCCCCGGCAGGCTGCTCATGTCGATGATACTGTCGATGTTGTGCGCCCATTGTATGCCGTGTTCAGGTTGCCCACAAAGATGTAGTCCGTCACTTTGGAGATGACGGGCTCAGAGTACTGAAAGTGTTCCGGGACATTCTGTTTGGGCGTGTCTTGCGTGTCTGGTGGACCCACCCTGCCCCCAGACCCCACCCCTACCCCGGCCAGACCTGTGACCGCCCTAATGCTGTAGTTACGCAGCTTCTTGGAGCCAGAGTGGGAGTGGGGGTTGGAGTTGGACTCTGAGCTGCTGTTCCAGGGAGGGGAGAAGAGGGACAAGCGGCTAGAGGACTTGCTCTTGGTGAGGTTCTCCAAGGGGCCAGAGCTGGAGGCCGTGGTGGAACCAGAGGCACAAGACAACGAGGCCCTCTCCAGAGAGCCTGTGCTGCTGGCTGCTCCTGCAATGTGGGCCTTCTCCATCTGCAGGCAGACGCAAACGGTATCATACACACACACACAGCACACTGATGTAGAGTCCTGCATGGGTCAGATTTTTGGAGCCGCACCCAACCGGCGCTGGCCACATCAGTTCCGAGCCCCATCCGATACTCGACATCAGGACAGAGTTTTCTCTGCAACCTGACCCACCCACATAGAATTGTTCCGAGAGCGTATCCGTTACCCGCCAAATAAGATTAATTTATTTATTCGCAACACAACAAGCTCCTGGCTTTCTAAAATCAATTACTATCTTGATTTAAAACATTTTTAAACCCATAATATAATTGTTCTGAACTGTGAGACGACCCACGGGTTGAGAGAATGTTTTTTCCACCGCTAGCTGATTTTATTGCAGGTCACCGGAGGAGAACCGTGGGAATCCGACCTGATGCAGGACTCTACATTTAAGTACGATACGATACCATATGATACAACAACTGTCAGTTTTTAAGGAAATTCATTTTGGGAGGTCAGCAATACATTAAAATACTACATAAACAAAAACAATAGAATGCAGTTAGCATATATACAGTTACAGCCCTGCTACATTATAGCCATCGGGCGTCCGGCATTGCCATCAGCCATTGAGTAAATGCTTCCTTTGAAATCAATGAAAGCTGCTATACTGCCCGTGTTGCACTCGGGTTGTGTCACGTCCAATAGTGGCGTCCAAGCTCAAGAATTGTAGAGGTTAAATTCTGGATGGCT